TCAGAGGTACTCGCTGTTTGATGAGTAAATTTACCCTGTTAATGGAGGCAGCAAACGCCTCAGAAATGTCGGTTAACATCTACCGGACTGCACTTCGCAACCCAGACGTCAGCCATCTTCATATTTATATATTTTAGTACGTGTCTAGGAAGTAATTCACTGAATATTTTAAACGATTCATTTAGTCACGTGACGATGACAATCTCGCTACAATTATAACACTTGACGTCACGTATTTTACATGTATGTTACTTCATTATTTTAGACATTATCATTTAATAGCCTAATCATGATGTATATCAACTAACTCTGGCATAATCGAATCCCCAGTATGTCTTTGTAACATACGAACTGAAGATCTTCATTTGGGGATTGGAAATGTCGCTGTTGTTTCAGAACGCGGTGTGGAAAATTAAACCACAAGTGGATAATGGTCAGTTATGCCATCAGATGACACAAGATAGAAACGTTTTACTTTTCAGGCAGTTTTATTAGCATTTTATAAGTATTAAGATAAGGACTTGCTTCGGTCATGCAATCACACATCTGCAGATATGGGAAATATTGCGTTATTCAGCTGAGTCTAGTTCCATATACCGTATCTTCCAGCTGACATCTTTTACCTGCTCTAAATCACTGACTTACCGTATCCAAAGTGTAAGGCTACTCTGCGATTTGCGGTCTACACCGGACAACTACAGGCCCGAGAGAATTTTATTAAAAGTTACAAATGTTAATATGGTCTGTATTTTATGTCGTGTACTAATTGATTATACTGTCGGCCTTTATACAGGCGTTCAGTTTGATCTTAATGTGAGGAAGGGATTATAATTGACCAACACGCAAAAAAATTAATTAAATTTGTCCAGCGACTTGTAACGTGAGGCTATCCCAGTGTAAAATTTCGTCGAAATCAGTTAATTTATTTGGGAGATGAAACATTTTGACTGACAGAAACTACTTCCAAAATTCGCATTCATTTATGTACTTTGTGCAATTAACT